AGAGGGTGTGTATATTAGCCCTCAGACGTCCTTGCACAGGGGGGTTCAATACACATCCTGTTCTGTTCACCCTCCCACTGCAGTGTTTTGACATTTGTCCAGGGGTCTGGTTTGACCAGAAACCTCTAGACTGCTGTGTGTGACTCTGAGTTCTCATTTACATGTAATGTCTCATTTCTAGGTTGCCATCAAGTGGGAGACAGATGGACAGTCACGTTTGACATGTCATCCATCTCTACTAGTGAGCTTGTCCAGCTGGCAGAACTTCGGATCAGACTCCCTGCTTTCTCTGGCTCTAAGCGTGCCACTGTGGATTTATATCACTCCAGAAAGCAGAGTTGTGACCTGGACAGCGCATCGTGCCAGGATGAGCAACTGTTCTTGGGGAGTTTTGGCACACCAGCCAGCAGCACAAAGAAAGGTTGGAAGGTTTTTAATGTGACGGCTCTGTTAAAATACTGGCTGTACCAGGGAGAAGGAGTGTCCAGCCAAGAGGCCTCAGGAGAACCTGAGGCGGACCATGGGAGCGGTGCTGGGGGTAGAGGTGAGATCCCCGACGAGTCCCTCCTCAAGAATTCGGGATTGAGGCGAAGAAAAATACACCATACGACCACGAACAGGGTCATGATGGTGATCTTCTCCAAACATAACCTGCCCCAGGAAGGCCATACAGCCTACAGTCTCATTCACACTGTAGAGAACTCCAAGTATGTGACGATGGACAGAGCCAGCAGTGACAGTCAAAGTCGTCGTCACAAAAGGAACAGAATGGAGAGGATGAGGGTGGCTGCAGGAGCTTCGCCTACGCCTGCAGCAGCAGCAGCGCCGGCCCAGAGGCCTCGGTGTCGGAAGGTAGACATGTGGGTGGACTTTGAACACATCGGCTGGGACGAGTGGATTGTGCACCCTAAGCGCTACAATGCATTCCGCTGTGAGGGAGAGTGTCCCACACCACTGGATGAGTCCTTTAACCCTACCAACCATGCATACATGCAGGTGAGATGACAATTACATTTTTACTTTCTCATTTAAATAATGTTTTTTTGCACAGTCACTGGTTTACTGTCATCACGGTGGCAGTAGCTCAGTCTGTGGGGACTTGGAAACAGCCAGTTCCAGTCCAGCACGGCCTGTGGACTGGTAGCTGGAGAGGTGCGAGTTCACCTCCTGGGCACTGTCGAGTTGCCCTTGAGCAAGGCATTGAACCCCCCAAAAGTTCAGGGCCAGTTCCATCACTCAAACATCTGTCTATGTCTAAGGGTCCTGTGTGTACATGTGTGTATTTCGGGCCTGTGTGTCTAAATAGCTGAGTGACAAAATCGAAATCCCTCTGGGATTTATTCAGTAATTTTCTTCTTCTTATTCATGTCCACTACTCATATTTTTCAGAGCCTCTTGCAACATCACCATCCAGAAAGAGCGTCCTGCCTGTCCTGTGTGCCAACGCACCTCAGCCCGCTCTCCATGCTGTACTACGAGAACGATGACTTGGCCCTGCGGCATCACGAGGACATGATTGTTGAAGAGTGTGGATGTCACTGAAGGACTGCAGCGACAAGAGCAACTGTTGACGGAGCATAATCTTCAACTTTAACTGCTTCTCTACCGTCTTCTCTGTCTTACAACAAATGACGGGATATGTCTGTTAAGTTTGAATGACAATATATTTCATCCATACTGGGTGGTACACAATGGTTTATATCTTTAGTATGAAAAGCCCTGTTGTGCAAATGTTATTTGTTGTATCTATTTATACATTATAATGTATATTTTGTACATAAAATATGAAAGCATATATTAAAACATTATATTTTGATATGTTTGTGATGTTTTGTTCTTTTGCATGGATTTTAGAAGTTTGAATATAGTATTTGAATAGTGGGTTCTAATTTTTTATTAAATTTATGAACTCTAAAAATATATGAACTCTTTAAAAGCTTTCAAATTGCATAGCTTGGCTTAAATTGCCCACAGACAATTTTAAAGAGGGGAACTTGCACATAACTTTAGAAGGTTTTCAAAGTAAAATGTATCTGTGCTATTGATACACGATTAAGTATTCCATTGCTCATGAGATTTAAATCTTTATGGCCATTGTTAACTTCCATGTTCCACTTTATACTCTCACACGCACACACGTGCACGCACACTTAATTACATTTTCTTTTGTTTGTAATGTATTGATATCATATTTCATATCTTGTAAAAACATCTTGTCACTAATATTTTACGTAGTCATATGAATATTAATTTTATGTTCTCTGTAATATTGTAACATTGTAATATTATATAGGTGGAGGCTTCAAATACGCCGAGTTGGCTTTTTGCCTCTTCCTGTACTGTGATATTTATTTATTTCTGTTATGTTTGTTTATTTTTATTTTATTGTTTAAATTGTGCAAAATAAATAAACTAAACTAAACTATGATTAGCGATGTTTTAATAAACGTATGCAGGATAGGAAACCTTAAGTCAGTTTTTCATCTGGATTTAATTTGTCGTGGTTTCTAATGAACGTCTCAGCAGCTATTCTATCGAATGAAGTACACACAAAAAGCAGTAACCAGAGGCTCAACCTATTCCTACACACTCATCCACATCGTAATCCCACTTGTCCTCTCTGACTTGTGACCAGCTAACATTTTAGTGTATTTGCCTTCTTCACCTCCAATCCACATCTTTGGACCTTTTACAGCACACACACATCATCAGAGGTCATTAGTGTCCTTTCTGGCCAGGCTTCCTTTGCTGATTGTGATCAAACAGGCAGGTCGAGTGTAACAACACACAAGTATACTGACGGATGGGCCAATGGGGGAGAGAAAAGCAGTAGCACTTGTTTATTTGGGGGAGGGGGCAGGGGGTGTCAGGAAGCAGAGGTGACAAGGGGAGATTCAGACCCCAAACAAACAGAGAGCAGTGAGGGAATGGAGTGAGTCCACGTCTGGATGGTGAAGCTACTGTGGAGGAAAGACAGGATGGACTGGAACTGATCAGCTGAAACCGTTCAATCCACACTTCCACCCAAACAAGACCAGACAAGACCAGTTCTCTCACAACTTTCAGTCTAATTCCCTAATGTCCTACAATGGTCTGGCCAGCTGATGATGCCAGAGAGCTACATGCTTACACTATCACAAATGGTATTATGTGCTTATTTATGCTCACTTAAACAACTGTAAATGATCCACTCTATTGTTCATACTTAGTTATACAGTAGTAGTACAATAACCATATTCAGTTCAAGCCTATTTACAATAATGAAGCTGATGTGGTACTTCGACAAGTGTCCAGAGAAACACATGTCACATGTCATCATCACCTCCAAATCATGTGTCAGTTCTCACACTCCATCCTGAACAAACCTTTCTGTCCAAAACACACTGGTGGTCACGTAACTGCACTCTGACTTTACAGGAAAGTTAAAACTGATGTAATGGGCACTGCAAAATTATAAGTCAGTAGTGAACAGACCAATGCACAAGTACTTCTTTTCAGGCCATTTTGCCTTAATGAGAGGGGAGAGAAAGCAAGGGGTCGACATGCAACTAACCGGGCCGCTGCATTCAGGACGTGGCACCCGCTCTACCAGGTGAGCCGTCTGCTCACCTGAACAAGTACCTCTGACGGGACATCTGATAGTTAATTATCCAATTCCATTTTACTTGCACATCTTTTGCACAACAGGAACTTGAACAACACATTAAGTCGGCTCAGCGGCCTTGCAATACCGAACAGTCCAGTGCAATAATGTCTCAGTTGTCCCGGGACATCCATTATTTAGAAGCACTTATATAACACACCCATTAGAGGGAAAGCCTGGTAAGCTACTTCACAATGAACCCAACGATAGCACAGTGAAGCAAGAAAGGTGACGGCAACAGAGGTGGAATGGAGATGTTGCGTGATGACGTTAGGAAGGAGGGAGTGTCTCCCAGCTATGTGCAGTTGTATATTGACCTCTCTCTATACACCCCGCTGACTGAGGTTATCAGCTTCCAGTGAGCTCCTTGAGGAATTCCTCTGCTATAACTCGTGCTGAATCAGAGGAGCACAGGAAGTCTGTGAAGCAACATGAAGATCATTTCAAAATGTATATTTGCTTTTAGTAAGGAAACCGTCAATAACTCATTGTGGTTATTAAAGCTTTCCTTTTCGTTATATGTCGCCAACGGCTTTTAGCTCTTCCAGCTGAAAGAGAAATGTGTAGTCAGACCAGTGAGCCGCTGAATATATATTATCCCAAAAATACAATTCACTGACACGACAGAACAAGATGTCAAATACATGACAAAAAGTGTTTGCTTTAATGCTTTGTCACCCTACAAACCGTGTGAAAATCTGTTTTCATCAACAAAATGATGTTTTACATTCTCTGTATGACACTTCAGGTGAAGAAATTGTTTTTGAGAGCACAGTAAACAAATGATACAGTATCTTCAACATTTCAAGGCAACAGCTGATGAAAGGCGTCAGGAACTGTGTTGAGATAAAAGCATATCAAGAGAAAAACCCTTCTGGAATGGTGATAAATTCAGCAAATTACAATTATTACTTTTCCCTGTTGATCTTCCATTCCATTAACTTGTCCCAGTTCTTAGGGATGAGGCTTTGTTGGCGTTTACTTCTCAGTCTTGATTTGAAACGTATAGCCACTGTAGGAAGGCACACTTTGTCACACATAAATCAGCTGTAAGCCTCGCGGCAGACAGAAAATCATTACAGATCTGTTCTGGTCATAGTAAGCAATTGAGATCGATAAAGACAGACTTTAAAACACTAAGACACTGGAGATAACGAAGGCGGACCTCGGTCTTCATGGAATGGATGATGGGAAAGAAGGAGTTTCCTGAGCCTCTCTTCACAGCATCGTGTTGGTAAGTCTGACTCGCTCCAGGACCACCTAGATGTCAATTTCGAACTGTGAGTCATCACCTGGACAAAAAAAGAAAAGAAATATTTTATAAAATGAAAACATGTTTTTCTACATTTCATTACGTCTTTAACAGTTGCATAACATATTTAAATCGTAAGTAATAACTAATCATAAGTAATATTTCAGGGAGACTGGAGGATTTAATCACTAGCTGGTAAAATAACATCTGGCAGTAAACATTACAAGAGTGCACTACAGGGTGACCGATACCCAAAGAAGCAATGAAGCATGTTTAATTTGACAAGTTACTCAAAGAATCAGAAGCTAATATTTTAACACGGTTAGCTAACTTGAAAGGCGTTCAAATACGTTTTTTTGTCTTTTGAAAAACAACTAAAATAAATATGAATACATTTAAAGTGAATGTTTAGTTATGACCCACAGCAACTTATCGCGTCAGTGACCATTAAAAACACAAATAAATAAGAAACCACGTCAGGAAACATATCAGGCCGTAGCTGGATTCCAGACCTCTGAAACGCCGCCCGTGTCTTAAATTTCTTTCAGCGATTAAATTAGGTCTGGTGATGTGCTCAATGATGGTCGCAGGAGAAGCAACCGATCCAATCAGAGCTTGGTAGGCGGAGTTAAGAATGTAGAAGTCTTGTTCTTGGGAGGTGGAAAAATGTCGACAGAAAATTTGCAAAGAAAATGTTGACAAGCATCGATGAGTTCGATGCAGCCGTTCAGGTTGCTGCCAGCCGACTTAAAGAAATAGCAGTTCTAAAAAATCTACATATTTAAAATCGGAACAGTTCCTTGCAACCTGCAACCTCAGCTTCTGTATCAAATGAAAATGATGTTGACAGGACGGATACACATTAAGCTACTGACTGGTTGAGGCGGAGTAAACAGTAAACAGAAATCAGCTAACAGGGACACAACCTCAGGATGAACCATAAAGTGGAATGAAATGACATCCTTGTATCTTGTGTTGAAACCTCAAGCCATCATCCATGACAGACATAATGGCAGCTGTGTGAGATAGGGATATACATGACATAACTGAGGTGGAGGATCCATCAGTGCTGTAGTTTTTAATGGCTACATGAATATGCATCTGACTATAGCTCTGACTCCTTCCCTTCAAATGCAGGGGCCTCCCTGTGATGTTTGTCTAAGGTGTGAACAAACCAGTGTTGCTGCTGTCAGCTGCAGTGACGTTGTTCGGTAGTTCTCTATTATGGGCCTTCTCATCGGTGTCCTTGGAGGGAGGACTGGTCACCCCCGGAATTTTGGGCAGACCGCGCGGAGGAGTCTTGGCCACCGGAGAGCTGCGACACCCCAGCAGGAACTTTCGGTCGTAGATGATTCTGGTACCTTGAGTGTGAAGAGGAAGGAAAAGAGAACGATGAATATCAGACATGGAGCACTGACTCAGTTCAGACAGAGTACTTACAGTGGGTACGGAAAGTATTCAGACCCCTTTACATTTTTCACTCTGTTTCATTGTAGCCATTTGCTAAAATCAAAAAAGTTCATTTTATTTCTCATTAATGTACACTCAGCACCCCATCTTGACAGAAAAAACAAATGTAGAAATTTTTGCAAATTTATTAAAAAAGAAAAACTGAAATATCACATGGTCATAAGTATTCAGACCCTTTGCTCAGTATTGAGTAGAAGCACCCTTTTGAGCTAGTACAGCCATGAGTCTTCTTGGGAATGATGCAACAAGTTTTTCACACCTGGATTTGGGGATCCTCTGCCATTCTTCCTTGCAGATCCTCTCCAGTTCCGTCAGGTTGGGTGGTGAACGTTGGTGGACAGCCATTTTCAGGTCTCTCCAGAGATGATCAATTGGGTTTAGGTCAGGGCTCTGGCTGGGCCAGTCAAGAATGGTCACAGAGTTGTTCCGAAGCCACTCCTTTGTTATTTTAGCTGTGTGCTTAGGGTCATTGTCTTGTTGGAAGGTGAACCTTCGGCCCAGAGCACTCTGGAAGAGGTTTTCTTCCAGGATATCTCTGTACTTGGCCGCATTCATCTTTCCTTCAATTGCAACCAGTCGTCCTGTCCCTGCAGCTGAAAAACACCCCCATAGCATGATGCTGCCACCACCATGTTTCACTGTTGGGATTGTATTGGGCAGGTGATGAGCAGTGCCTGGTTTTCTCCACACATACCACTTAGAATTAACGCCAAAAAGTTCAATCTTGGTCTCATCAGACCAGAGAATCTTATTTCTCATAGTCTGGGAGTCCTTGATGTGTTTTTTGGCAAACTCTATGCGGGCTTTCATATGTCTTGCACTGAGGAGAGGCTTCCGTCGGGCCACTCTGCCATAAAGCCCCGACTGGTGGAGGGCTGCAGTGATGGTTGACTTTGTGGAACTTTCTCCCATCTCCCTACTGCATCTCTGGAGCTCAGCCACAGTGATCTTTGGGTTCTTCTTTACCTCTCTCACCAAGGCTCTTCTTCCACGATTGCTCAGTTTGGCTGGACGGCCAGGTCTAGGAAGAGTTCTGGTTGTCCCAAACTTCTTCCATTTAAGGATTATGGAGGCCACTGTGCTCTTAGGAACCTCGAGTGCTGCAGAAATTCTTTTGTAACCTTGGCCAGATCTGTGCCTTGCCACAATTCTGTCTCTGAGCTCCTTGGGCAGTTCCTTCGACCTCATGATTCTCATTTGCTCTGACATGTACTGTGAGCTGTAAGGTCTTATATAGACAGGTGTGTGCCTTTCCTAATCAAGTCCAATCAGTTTAATTAAACACAGCTGGACTCCAATGAAGGAGTAGAACCATCTCAAGGAGGATCAGAAGAAATGGACAGCATGTGAGTTAAATATGAGTGTCACAGCAAAGGGTCTGAATACTTATGACCATGTGATATTTCAGTTTTTCTTTTTTAATAAATTTGCAAAAATTTCTGGGGGTGCTGAGTGTACATTAATGAGAAATAAAATTAACTTTTTTGATTTTAGCAAATGGCTGCAATGAAACAAAGAGTGAAAAATTTAAAGGGGTCTGAATACTTTCCGTACCCACTGTAACACACATGCATTAGCGGCTCAGTCATTCATATTCACGCAGGTGTGTCCACTAAAGTCCACCTTCACACTTCTCACCATTGCTCTGCTGAACAGCCATATTGTTAATGCTATTTAAATCTAATCAGAACCGTTTATTGCCAAGGAAGTTTGCACCTACAAGGAATTTGTCATGGCGGGTGGTGCGTAACATTTAACAATAAACAATAACATTAAACTATCAATAACAATCAATAATGGTCCCGTCAGTGTTTATTTCCATCAAATCTAACCATATAACCAGCTATAAATGGTCAATTCCTTGATGTAAGAGTGTTCTGATTGAAAAGGAGTGTTGGTACTGCCAGTTTATACGAGACACTAACATCTGACCAATATAATAAAGGAATTTAAACTGGAGTGTTTGCAAAAAAAGGACATATGTATTCTTTAATATCCACCCATATATTGTACCAATGTGTATAAATCATCAAACCTTGATCATATTTAATGTAGTTCCAGTAGTAGCACTGGTAAAAGTTTAAACTGAAATGCATCCCAAAATCGATAAAGCTTCAATTGGATCACTTGTTAGGTCATATTGGGTTTGTACATTACATTGTGCATTCATTCATAACATAAACACACAACCCGCGAGGGAGGCGCTCATGACACCACATGACCAATGAGAACCAATCCAAAGATGGCAACGTATTACATAAGAGTATGTTTACCGCGATTTGATGCGCTACAGATAAAGTAAAACGTGTATATAAAACGTCAGACTGATCGTCATGGACCACAGGCTCAAACTGGAAGGAACCAATCACAGCTTTAGTTGTCGGTAACGTACGACCAGCACGAGCTTCATTAGCAGCAGAGGACACATGGGTGGTCGCTAACGGTCAAAGATCAGCTGACAAAACCCACAAACACCGTAACACGTCTCATGTAATGACAAAGCAGCGATGTATGAGTCTATACCACCCACCTGCCTTGGATCACATTTACCGTATTGCCTCAGAGTCAGAGTATTTCTTCTTTTGTGACTCCTCTGTTATGTAACCAACACTTGCTAGCTAGCGTTAGCAGCTACAGAGCTAGCAGCTGGTTCTGCACAGTGGCATTTGACAGCAACCGACCTCATGGAGTTACTAGCATGAGCGTTTCCTGCACTCGCCGACAATACAGCCGTTTAGTTGATAATAGTATAAGTCATATATGACGGTGGGTAACGGCATATCTCTTCGGTACACACAGGTCAATATAATGTATAACTACTGTACGCACCACCCGGGGTCGTGCTGAACAGGGTGCCACCGGGAGTAGTGGAGTAGTCCAGGGGCATGTGCGCCGCGTCGTTGATGGACACCCTCCTGGTCGACGGGATGTCCGTGGCAGTGGTCTTCTTGCAGTCAGTGGACATCTTGTCTGAACTATATTACACTAAAACTGGCTAACTGAACAGTATGAAACAGGCAAAAAGTCTTGGTTTTACAAAACAACACAGCCACACCGCGCCTGTTTGGCTCAACAGAATGCACACTTTCGCATAAATAAAAATAAATACCTCTTTTTCAAAAGTGCAAATTATGAAATGTATCTAAATTGGTCACATTACAACACGCAGTCTCGCATACAAAGTGTTGAGGTTCTGTCTTTAAAAGGACCCGAGCACTCGTTTCTCTGCTTCCACTCACTCTGTACATGCACACAAAACAACACGCAGACAGGCTGCAGGGGAATGCTCCAGACTCGAGGTGGACACGATAAACGTATTGCGCCCCCTACTGGCATACAATGCCTGTGCAATGGCTGTATAACTCGTATATTATATCTTAATAGATCCAGAACTTCCTCTGACCTTGTTAGATGAACTACAACCAGTTTAATTATAACCTTAACCTGTGGCATACACAAGCAATAGCTGCTGGTTTTGCAGGACTGCATTTATTCAATGGATATTAAAAATGTAATCTTACCTACTTTTCCTTTTTTATACAGTCAAACAGGGTTTAACCACTGGTGGACTCATTGCAAACGCAAACATATAAATAGACAGAGTTTCAAAGAGACCATTATGTTAAACATTCAGTACTTTGGTGAAAGTCGAATAAGATAATCATTTTCATAACAGCAGTATAGACAGGAAGAGGCCCGAGGCACTTCAGCATGTTTATAATACTTGGTTTGTTCGAAACTACGGAATGATCATCAGCAGTTGGGTGCACTTGTATCACGTGCAAGTGTCTCACACAAAAGTATACACACTATACACAAAGACATTTCATTTCTTTATTAATTTTGTAAATGTTGAGCTGGTGTACAGAGTAAATTGTCAATAGATGTCCTCGGATTTGATTGGATTAAAAGGCTTTTACATGTATATTTTAAATTCATGTTTGAATCTCCATAACAATAAAAAAAAGCAAATAAAACAGGTTAAAATACCCACAAGACCCCTATTTTATCCCCAGGTTGCAGGCATTACCCAGAACTCAACAGTCTCTTGGTAGCTACAGCTGTATGATGCTAAAAGTACATCCATAACATAACTAGAATCCCAGTTGACAAGTAAGGGTGCATAGCATTCTAAGTAA